AAAGTAAGATGAAAGGATAAGGAGAGGACATCCCTCACTAATTACTGTCACAAGGCAAAACATACTTGACTAGAAAAAGATTGAATTTATTGCTAATTAAAAAATAGAAAATTAGTGATAAAAAATGAAACCTAAAACCACCTTCCCATCACCGCTCACTTTTCTCAGACTCTACTTCCCTCTTTCCTTCCTAACTTTCCTGCCACCTTCTGCTACTCCTGAGCAGTGCAGGGAGAATGGGGAAAACTCTCAGTTTATAACATTTCATTTTTGTTGTTCCTTCTCCATACGCTCCTTATGTATTCTTTGAGTAGGACCTCTTGGTGGAGTTATGTTCCCATGCTCCACCATGAGTTCCTACTCATAGAATACAGTCCCTGAGGAACTTTTCCAACACAGCTCCTTCTCCACTGCATCAGTACGAATCCTTCTATGGGGTATGTTCCATCAGGAATGTGCTGTTCCTACAGGTTACTGTTCTTGCCTGAAAATCTGCTTCTGTGTGGGCTTCCTGCCTGGGCCGTGGCTGCTGTCAGGAGCCTGCTCCAGCCTGGGCTCTGCATGGGCTGCCTCTTTAGGGCATCTCCTTGTGCTCTGGTTTGGTGTTCTCCATATGATGCAGGGTGGATGTTTGCTCCACTCCATCAGCTGCAGGAGGACAAACCTGCACTGTCACAGTCTTCTCTATTGGCTGTGATGGGATTTCTGCTCTGGTGCCTGCAGAACCTTTGCCCCTTCCTTCTTCAGTGACCTTGGCATCTGCAGGGCTTGTTCTCTCATGTTTTCTCATTTCTCTCTCACAGCTGCCAAATAGGATTTTTACCCTTTCCTAAATATGTTATGACAGAGGTGCCACCAGTGTCACGTGTGGGCTCAGCTGGGGACAGCAGTGGGTCTGTCCAGCATAGGGCAGCTTCTGATCTCTTCCAATAGGGCCTACCCCCTGCCAAAACCTTGCCCTCAACACATACTCTTGCAGTAATTCCAGAGCAATGTGCTGCTTCAAATGTATTCCTTATAGATTTGATGCAATTCTTACATGGTATTGGCATTAAGAGCCTTAAATGCTATGTCTTTGATATGTTCCTAAAAGT